TGGTACCCTCATGGCGAGTGTCCTCGCGAGGCCGCCCAGGCCGCGTTGTGTGGCGGCTGCTTGGGCTTGTGGCGTCATGCGTCCACTCGTGGCGTTAAGCCACGCGTTGACCCCGTAGACGTACTCGCGAAAGGGTACGTTGCCTTGGGGGTCCCAGTATGGGCCATGTGTTTGCCCATCGGTGCTATTATCTCCTCGGCGCATGTGTCCGATTGCCGCCCCCAGCGCAAACCATATAATGGCGAAGATAACCATGCCTAGGCTGTGGAGGTATGGGTGGTTATCGGCCGCGTTGCCGCGCTGGGGTAGGGCTTGTAGCGCCTTGTCAGGTCTACGAAGCGCTTTATCTTGCGGGTCTCCCCGCCTGCGCTTCAAGTACTGCGCTTTTGGCTCGTTGCCGAGCGGTTGGTGGTAGCGTAGTGATGAAGCGCATATGGTACCAATGTTGTTGTCTAGACGTCGTGCCTCTCGTGTTGCTTCTTGCTCTTGAACTGATCCTCGTAAATGTCGGTGGGGCGGTGGCGCAGGGTAGAGATTGGTCACGAGGATCGTGCCGTGTAGCGTGAGGATAAGAAGTGCAAGAGCTAACCGCGCGAGAGTGCGGCCAGCTCCGCTACCAAGTCTGAAATGACTCTGGTAGGTCATATTCCATCCAATTCTATGTCGAAGGAATACGATATGGGGTGTGGATGAGTAAGATAGGATAAGATCGATGTAATGGTCTTTCCAACACATAGCGAATACCAAGTCAGGTATCCGGGCAAATAGGGCCCGCGTGCCTTGAGCCATAAGACAGCGACGCGCAGGCTATACTCCCGATTATCTATAACATCTCCCAAAGAGCCACCCTTAAAGTGCATCGACCTCCAGGTGCCCTCGCCGCCAATGATGCCGCAGTAGCAGAGCACGAGCAAGCGCGCGCGAAGCCGACCTCCAGACCATGGCGCGCCCATGGGGCCCAGGACGAGCGCGGGCAAAGAGTGCGTCGGGCGCCGCGCGACCGGCAGCGCGCCGAACGCGAACCGCAAGCCGCGCCAGAATGTCCGTCGGCCAGTCGCACTCGCCAATTTGGCCGCCTCCTCGTAGACACTGACCATCTCGCTGAAGACAGGGCCCCGCGTGATACGACCAGCAATAGGCTTGGCGCGCTCTTGCCCGCCTTCAGATCGACGCGCCCGTGATAATAACGAGGGCGGATGATCACTGACCTCACGACGCTCAAGCTCCTCGGGCTCAGCTGCCAGCGAAGTCGAACGCTAGACACAAACAGCGACCCATGTCGGCGCTGACACAAAGATGCGATCGATGCGAGACGACGCCTGATTCGGGCGACGCCCGTGGGTCGGACGAGCAGCGTCGCGCTCGACCATGCGTCGCCATATCTTGCGCCAGGATGCTTCATGCCGTCGACGCGACTGCGAGACGCCCACTTCAAACCTCCGTGACGAGGCAGGCGCAGGAGTGCCTGAGACGGGGCCATCGATGTCGCCGTCAGGGATATTGAAGTCTCCAAGCACACATACTGAACAGTGAAGCGGGCCGGCTTGGGCTTGTGACAGCTGTCGATGAATACAATGCCCGACCTTGTTCATGTCTTCTGCTGAGATTTCATGATTCTGAGCATCCCAGTGGAAACAAATATGACCAGCCGCTCTAATCGCGACGAGTAAGATGCGCCCTTCGACAGTAACTTCACAACGAACGTCCGCGATGCGAGAGCTCTTCGGGACAATCGTGATAACCCCGCCATTCCGTAGCTCACGCGGGGCCGGGCCGAAGAAGTGGCGAGAATGAGCCCATCGCCGCATGGCCACCACCGCGCCAGGGCGCGGGCAGTGGGTCTCCTGAAGCGCAACAACTGACGATACACTCATCAACTTATGAACTTCCGAGAGCTTGTAGTTCGTGGTCTTCACCTTGTAGTGGCTGGGGGCGCGGGCGTTCCAGGTCGTAAAAAACAGCGCGCCCGCGCCCTTGAAGGCCTCGTTGCCCGCGCCGCCGAACCTCGCGGACACCAGGCGCCTCATAAGCCACCTTCTCAAGCTCGCGCTCCTGTGCATGAAGGTTGGCCAACGCGTCCACGTTCCATTTGAACGGTGGCTTCTCCGTGGGATGCACTTCAACTTTGAGAATGCGATCCCACGACATAGACAGGACACCATCATCTCGATCCACATACACTCGCCGACCAAACTTAGCACTGAACGCATTCCTGACCTTTTTTTCCAAGCACTCTCTCGAGCAATGACCGTTCTGTTCTTGTCAACTGAGACCGACAATATAACAGGGCGACCGCTGGGATTAGTAGTATTGAGCGAGCGCCATTGACCTGCTGCTGCACGTATCGCCGCCGACGCCGCCCCCGCTCGCCGCCCAGCCGCTGCCCTTTGAAACTTGAGCGCGAACGAGCGCCCCAATTGCTCACCCTCCAGCTGGACCTCATTACTGGTAGTGTACGATGCATCTTGTAGCCGCGGCACCAGGCACTCAGCAACCTTCTCGTATGCCACATCAGCCCGCGCACTCTTCTTGATGGAGGCGGCGATCTCGAGCTGCACCTGCTCTGCGATCGAGTGCGCATTCTCCTGCGCCCACGGGTCGAGGGCTGCACGTGTCGCCGCAGACGGGCCCGATGTAGGGGCCACTGGAGTCCCTGTGGCAGCACAGAATCCCGCCCCAATGCCGCGTCCTGCTTCCCTTCTTTGATCACCCTGCTCCACGCCAACGACCAGCGAGGTGCTGATGCGGCGGAGGGGCCGGCCACGCTTGTGGACCACCGGCCGCTGCTGCCGTCGAACAGGACCTCGCTCCGAGCGTCTCCTTGGACGGGAAGGTCGGCGTCTCCTCCAACTGGGCAAGGATCTCAGCAGAGTGCAAGGTAGCCGTCGCAGCCTGGGCCCTCGCATCCTCATGACTGTAACGAAGCGAAGGTCGCTCGTCACCACCATAGGTGCTTCGCGACCGCTGGCCAGGGGTAGGGGCCTCTTGAGACGCACGTTCTCGCGTCGGACGTCCAAGTGTAGCTGGCGGTGTCATGGCAATAGACACAATACACATATGACCAGAGCTGACAGACGGATGGCGCCGCCCGCTAGGAGTGCCATCCCTCTTGCCCGACATGTTTCCCGTTTTTTTCTCCTTCTGTTCCGACTTCTTCTCCCTGTCGCAATCAGGCATGCCACCCGAAAACAGCGCGGCGGAAGCAGCTGGTGTGGGGGCCCAATTCCCACAGTGAAGGCCGAGAACGCACTGCCAGGCAAACCTGCCTTGCCTGCCGCGGACTCGCGGTATCCACTTCTTGGCCTGGCCAATGAACCATCTGCAGCCTAAATGGCTACGGAAGAGGAGGAGCAGGAGGAGGAGGAGGAGGAGGAGGAGGAGGAGGAGGAGGAGGAGGGGAGG